TTGAGCCATGGTCTCATCTTCTTCTGAACTTTTGAGAAACTGCACCTGTAAAAAAAACACGTTAAAAGCTGCTTTAGTACTGAGTCTGTGTCTACACCAGAGATGTCAAACTCATTTTGGTTCACGGGCCAGATTCAACCCAATTAGATGTCAAGTGGGCCGGACCAGTACGATCATAATGTAATTAACCAAGAATCACATTGAGTCCATGTTTTTCCTCATTTGTTTTCATGCAAAGAATTACAAGTATATTTGATATTTATTTTTGTTTATGCATATTTAATTAAATATAATTATACAAAAACAATACCCTGAACATGTGTATATGTGTTTGTCTATTTTTTTTAAAGCAACAAGCGGGCCGTATTGAACAACCTAGCGGGCCAGTTCTGGCCCCCGGGCCGTATGTTTGACACCCCTGGTCTACACCATGTGACCACAGCCCGACAAATCCTCTCCTTTCTCAAGAACGGGTTTATTAATTTGATTCCAATTCAATCTTATACAGAAAACTGTAGTTTGAGTATCCGAATAAACCAAGGAGCTATATTGTCGGGAGCTTAAAGCCCCTGGTAGGGTCCCCCAAGGCAAACAGGTCCCAGGCGATGGATCAGACTAAGAGTGGTTCAAACTACCCTTGATGAAGAAAAGATCAAAAACAAAGAAGCTCACGCCCAGATTGGCGGTACCAGGATCCCACTCTGGAGCCTGGCCCAGGGTTGGGGCTCGCAGGCGAGCGCCTGGTAGCCGACGGTTTCAGCCCATGGGACCCGGCCAGCCCCAGCCCAAAAAAGCGACGTGGGCCAACTGGAAGGTGGGCAAGGGGACGGTGCCATGCGATTTGGGTGGCGGTCGTGGGTGAGGACCCCCAGCGGCCCAATCCCTGGACAACTACTCTGGCTATGGGGACATGGAATGTTACCTCGCTGGGTGGAGCCATACCGACATATAATCGGGCTCACCTCCACACACAGCCTGGAAGACATCCGGCCGTATGTGTTGGACAATCGGCTGAAGAGAGTGAGCTGTCAACTGATCACCACCTGGTGGTGAGTTGGCTCCACTTACGGAGGGTGAAGCTGGACAGACCTGGCAGACCCAAGCGTATCATTAAAGAGAGAACTAGTGGTTTTCTCTCTCAGACTCAGCAGTTGTTGATCAACTGCTGCCTCCATCACTAAGTTCAAAATGTGTTTCTCTGCGACTTCACTGTTTGTAACACATTGTTCCGATTAAACCATGTCACACAAACAGACCACAGGAGGCAGCAGAGGACCAGCAGCTTCTGTGTACCTGTGAGGTGAAATCACTGATTTTCTCTATGGACTATGGTGGACTTTCTCTATGGTCCATCACCCCCTGTGATGGTCATGTTATGGCCTCACTGACAACACAAAGTTGAACTGACCTGCTCCATGTTCACATCAGCAGATTCACCAGAGGCCACAGCTGCTGCAGGTACAACCAGAACTGTTGTAGGCTGGAACACACACACAAACACACACTGATTTATCTCTCAGAACAATAAAAAAAAGCAGTTAAAAAAAGGCCCCACTATCAACAGTGGAGTCTGTGAGTTCACAAGACGCACCATGAATGTTCAGTATTTATTTCATTATTAAAGTTTGGGGCTGTAATACTACGTGTACACAGACGGAACTGCTCGGCACAAATACACACCTGTTCCTCATTTTCAGTACACCTGTGGAACCATATGTTGTGTCAAAGGAACTTAAGTTACTACGGAGCAGAAATAGGTCCAATTTCCCCTGGACGAGAACCAATCACTGTTCACCAAGTTGACATTAATTAGCAGTTAACACAGAAGGGTTCCGTATAGTGAATGGATGAAACAATACAGCCCAATGAGACACTAATGAATGCATTCGCACAACTGAAATGTTCTCATGCACAGTGCAGTAATGCGCCCGTTTCACCATGTGAGTCCTCTGAAAGAGTAGTCTGATAACCACGCTAAGCGGCTAGGTCTTGCCATTGGTGTGTGTTGTAGTATTAGTGTGTGCAGCTTATTTTGTGTGAAGCCCTTTATTAAAAATATTTATGTATGTATCGCCAGATTCTTGCCAATACACACCCCTATGGTATGTATACATATATAATCACATCAATAATAATTAAACAAACGTTTACATTTACACCCCCCCAATCACAATCACAATCACAATCAACACGATGCTATCACTCAACACTTACATCAGTACAGCAGCAGACGGCGTTACAGGCGAAACCTGCCACAGTGATGGCAACAATCATCTCCAGAAGACTGAAAACTGCAAGGACGCCTGAGACGCCCCGCATTCGACTCTGGGCAGAGACACGGGAGACAGGGGACAAAGACATAATTTATGCTATAAATAAGAGTGACGTCTGTCCTCAGAGACATTCCTTTTACTCTTTTGTGATGTGAACAAAAAACATTTATCCTTTTCCTGGGTTTCCAGTTTCTTCACATACACACACACGCTCATGTCAGCAGTGAGACAGAAAACCCAGTTCTGCTTCTGAGCACCTGGTACCTGGTACACGTAGCAGCTGTAACGCCCCCTGTCATCTGAGTAACCATAGTAGTAGCAGCCAATAATAATAACGGCATCCACGATGTGGATGATGGTGCTGATGGTGGCAGCAACTGATGCTATCACACTGACAATCAGGGCAGCTTTCACCTGTGGGGGGCAGCAGAGAGACAGCAGTCAGGTGACCAGTCAAACTCTTCTTCCAGCATCTCCTCACTGAGTTCTGGTGTGAAACTAACCAGACAGCTGGTCAGTCGAGTCCCAGCAGCTACAGTCAGAGATCCAGCAGCGATGTACTGAAACAGAGAGAGAAACCAACATTCTAGAACACTGGATGGACTGGACTGGACACTCTGGGTTGTAGAGCTGGGTCAGATATCAGAGTGACCACAAGAAACCTCTTAATCAGTGATTTCAGCTCAGACTAAAGTCCATAGAGAAAATCAATAATCAATTACCAGAGCAGCTCCCCAAACGAAGGAGCCACTGTAAACTCCAATGGAATCAGCAAAAGGTGACAAGGAGATCCCCATCAGCAGGACCAGCACGCCCACCATGATCTGAATGGTCTGAGAAGAGGAGGAGGAGAAAGAGGAGAAACTGGTGACACCTATCCCAGATTAAATTAGAATAAAATGTAACTGACACCATTCGGACACCAAAAGAGATTTTAAGTGGGGGTGCATCTGCAAAAAGATGTGTCCACGTTGGGTTTCATTTATCAACTGAAATCCAAACACCCCGATTGCTATGCTGAATATGAGTGGAAGGAAAGCTTCCTCTCAAAATGGAGTCTTAGCTGCATATAGCAGAAACCAGGATCAACCTGGGGTCAAGGTTAACATTTTATTTTGAATTTTCTATTGTGCACTGGTCGAATGTGTTAAATACGTATTTTTATTAATTTTGTAATTGTTTTATTCTGTGAAA